ATGCACCATCCATGAAACAAAGAAGCAGCATTAGTTTCAATATGGCTAGGGGATTGGTCAATGAACCAAAAATGTGTTAAAGTCTACTAGGAAACTGTTTATTTCTGAAAACTATGAGCTAGATAATTAGTAAGGTTTGGATAAAACAAAAATTAAAAATATAAACAAATGGTTTAAATGACTTTTAGAAATTTAAATGTCATAAAGCAAATTGAGGCTTTTCCCTTAGATGAAATTAGGATTGAATAATAAATTCAAATATGATTGGTTTCAACCATTTTAATATTTTGAAATGCCATAAAAACTACCTATTTATGATCCAAAATAATCCTAAAGACATAAATTTTGGGAGTTTTGATTCACTGAATTCAATTGCTTCTGAATAACTTTGCAAAACGACATCCTATGAATTGTAGACATTTGGAGTTTCTAGCCATTGAGACAGACCCTTGTTACATGCAGACTAAAGTAGTTAGTGTGCTGCAGTAATTGCATCTCCATTGGAAGTCATTTAATTTTTCACCACTGGGTAAAATAACTCAGATTTAATTTCCTCTTAATAAAAAAATCAGCATTGTATACAAGATTCAAAAAACCAAATTTATAAATTTTTGGCCCAGTACTAATTCAATCAAGATACACTGATTGCTAATAACAAATACATTTTATATAATTTCTTTTTGATTTTATTTCCTATATTGTAAATAAAATACATGATATCCCTAACAAAAGTCACAAAATGTAAAGCAACTTGAATATACATATGCAATTGTGTTTTATCTTCTCTTTGCCTTCAGCCTAGCAAATATGAATTAAATTTCAATACAAAACACTCTTCATATGATAAGTAAATAGATTTGCTAATTATTTTTCACAAATCTAGTCACTTTGCATTTTATATTTTGGTACATAATTTTTAATAATTTTTCCATTAAGATACTCTTTAACTTTTTATTTATTCACTTGTTTGAAAGAAGAGAGAGAGAGAGAGAGAAGAGAAAGATAGATCTCCCATATTCTAGTTCACTTTCCAAATGCTCACAATAGTCTGGCCTGGGCTATGCTAAAATAAGGAGCCTAGAACTCAATTTGGGCATACTACATGGATGGCATGGGTTCAACCACTTGAGCCATTACCTGCTATCTCAGAGGTGCAAAATGCCCAGCCCAACTCTTAACTTTTTAATATATCTGAAACTACATTGATTTTAAATGACCAATTGTAGCATTTACTCACATGGTGGGAAATACCACACTTTATACATAATAATTCAAGGAAATTAATTTAAAACATATCTGAGAATACACTTCCAGATAATTCAGGAAATCTATCCAGACTATACTAGAAAAGTGGCTCTATTGGTTAGTGACACATATTTTCAATTGTGCCAAATATACTTGTTATATAAATTAAATGTGTGTTGTTATCTAAATACTATAGAAACATTAAGAACATTTTTTCTTTGTGATAAAGTATTATTGGAAATATTCTTTCATTATTTTGGTTAAGCTGAAGTATATCAGTATGAATGATGTCATAATGGAATTCTAGATAAGAAATTTCAATTATTATGATTGTTAAATTCAGGCTAATTAATTTTTAAAAGTTTTGTGTTGTTGTTTCTCTGCATCTATTTGTATACAGATTTTGTTCTTTTATCTTCACATATTTATGTCTTCTATGTGTACAATGTGGTGAAGTACATGGAGAGCCAGAGGAATATCTCAGAGTTCATTCTACTGGGGCTTTCCTATGACCAGAACATACAAGCGGTTTGCTTTGTGCTCTTCTTACTGTGCTATGGGGCCCTCTTGATGGGAAACCTCCTGATCCTGATCTCCATCACATGCAGCCCTCTTTTTGACCAGCCAATGTACTATTTCCTCAGCCACTTATCTCTCATGGATATCTGCTTCACCTCCTGTGTGACACCCAAATTTATTGGTGACTTGCTGGTGGGAAGAAAAACTATCTCCTATAGTAACTGCATGTGGCAGGTGTTTGCCATGCACTTCTTTGGAATGATTGAGGTCTTAATCCTTACAATCATGGCCTTTGACCGTTACGTAGCCATCTGCAAACCTCTCCACTACATGATTATCATGAACAGGACAAAATGCCAACTCCTAGTTTCAGCTGCTTGGGCTGGTGGAGCAGCCCATTCCTTTCCTCAACTGTCTATCGCGATCTTGCTACCCTTCTGTGGTCCTAATGAAATTGATCACTACTTTTGTGATATTTTTCCTTTGCTAAAAATTGCCTGTGGTGATACTCATATCACAGGCATCCTTGTGCTTGCCAACTCTGGAATTGTCACCTTAGTGACATTTGTGGTTTTATTTATTTCTTATGTTGTTATATTATTCACTCTAAGAAACCAGTCCTCTGAGGGAAGACGCAAAGCCCTCTCTACCTGTGGCTCTCATATCACTGTGATACTTTTATTTTTTGGACCTGCAATATTTTCTTATCTTAGACCTCCTACCACTTTCCCTGAGGATAAAGTATTTGCACTTTTTTACACCATCATTGCTCCTATGTTTAATCCCTTAATCTATACTTTGAGAAATTCAGAGATGAAAAATGCCATGAGAAGAGTTTGGTGTCAAAGATAGCTAAATAAAAACAAGGATGTGACATGCAGGTAGAAACAAATATGAAGGTATGAAATTCAAGAACTATTCTGTAAATTAATTATTGTACTAGAATTATTTATGTAGGATATAATCATCATTGTGAAGTTAAAATTGATTATGAAATATTAATTTACTGTACAAAACTGAAAGTGCAGTTATTTGGGTAGTATTGAGATAGTGTGAGGTGCATTACATGCATAAAAGTTATATGGCCCACTACGATTAAGATATTGACATAATGAAGAGCATATTATTAAATAAAAATAAAGCTTTAAATTATTTTTAATATAAACTTTGAGCTTTATTGGCTTTAACAGATCATATAATGAAAGTTTGATATAAAAAAGCAGTTATAAACTAAACAGTTTTAATTTATGACACTATATTGATTCAACATATATTTAGAAGATAATTATGCAACAAGAAGTCAATATAATAGAGTCTGGTTTGAGATTGCTTTTCAATGTGAACTCTATTGACTCTGCACTGGGGAAAAAAAAAATAAAACATTAGTAAAAATACCGTAAGATCAATTATCAAAACATTGAACACTTACTGCTGTCCTCCCTTTTGGGAGTTTTGTTGTGGTGGTAATTTTGTAAGAATTATTTATTTATTTCAAAGGCAGAGTAACAGAGAGAGAAGACGCAATAGATAGATCTGCTGATTCACACTCCAGATGGCTGCAACAACTGGAGCTGGGAAACTTGATACAAAGCTAGAAGTCAGGAGCTTCTTCCAGGTCTCCCACAGTGTTGCAGGGGCCGAAGCACTTGGATCATCTTCCACTGCTTTCCCAGGCTTATTGAAAGTGGAACAGTTGGAACTTGCTAGAACTGGCTCCCAAATGGGCTGCTGGCATTGCAGGCAGTGGCATAACACATTTTACCATGATGCTGGCTCACTTTGTCCTTTTCTTCTTATTTGTGAACCATGGATGAAATAGCAGCATTAAGTCTGGATGCACCTGTAGATATTTAGGATTGTTCCTTTTGTATGTAGACAATGTTGGTGCTTTACCAGCCAAGCTTCAGCAATGGCCTGGTCAGTTTTTATTTAAGATACAAAGTATTTGAGTCATAAAATTCAAAAAAATTGATAAATAATTAACTGTGGGTTTTAGAACCAAATGCTTTTGTATGTAATTAGCAGAAAAGCAAATGGAGGCTGAAACAAATCAATATTCAGCTATCACTACAACACAAATCACTGTATATTTGCCCATTGTACATAATTTTTTTTGACAGCAGAGTTAGACAGTGAGAGAGAGAGAGGACCTGGGCCATCCTCCACTGCAATCCCAGGCCACAGCAGAGAGCTGGACTGGAAGAGGAGCAACCGGGACTAGAACCCAGGGTGCCGGCGCCACAGGCGGAGGATTAGCCTAGTGAGCTGTGGTGCCGGCCTATAGTACATAATCTTTTAACTATTATGAAGTATATATCTCCAGAGGATTCAGAAGGGAAAGCAAAGATTTGATAAAATGTCTTTATTTGCATCCCTAGAAGAATACAATGATAAATGATCTCTTACAGAACAGAGTGACTGTCATAAAAATAATATGAACATGATAATCATAATAAATAAGTATATGAATATAATAATAATTTAACTTCAGGAAAAGTTTTAGAAAAGTAAATTCAATGTAAGAATGATAAGGTATTCTAGAAGTACTGTATTTAGAGGGATAAAATAGAATGATAGAATGAGGGAGATATAATTAAATAAATTTCCTTTAATGGATGAAATTAAGCAAAGTATTAATTGATAAATTGCTAATGGAACAGAAAAATTCCCAATGGAGAATTCTGTTCTGAGAAAACACATTTCAAGACATTTGGAGCCGGCGCCGTGGCTCAATAGGCTAGTCCTCCACCTTGCGGCGCCGGCACACCAGGTTCTAGTCCCGGTTGGGGCGCCGGATTCTGTCCCGGTTGCCCCTCTTCCAGGCCAGCTCTCTGCTATGGCCAGGGAGTGCAGTGGAGGATGGCCCAGGTGCTTGGGCCCTGCACCCCATGGGAGACCAGGAAAAGCACCTGGATCCTGGCTCCTGCCATCGGATCAGCGCGGTGCGCCGGCTGCAGCGGCGGCCATTGGAGGGTGATCCAACGGCAAAGGAAGACCTTTCTCTCTCTGTCTCTCTCTCTCACTGTCCACTCTGCCTGTCAAAAAAAAAAAAAAAAAAGACATTTGGCATAGGGTACAATATTAAGGACAATACAACCAAAAGGACAAATTTTATGACAAGAATATATGAATTGCACTGGTTAGGAAAGAAAAACAAAAACCTCCCATTCAAACAGGATGTATAATAAAAATATATGTGTGTTTCTTTAAAAAATATTGTAAAAGTTTTTAATAATTCAGGAGATGAAACAAAGTGAAGGAGATAAGGCGGTGGGTGCTTGGGTAAAACACTGGTGTTTTCTGTTTACATCATCCAAGGGTCCCCAGAAAACTGATGCACTTGAGAGTATAAAACTAGTACTTGAGTCTCCATGTACCACCCTCAGGGCATTTCCTAAAACCCTAAAACCGGAGTGCTCCCCATGACCATACAGGGCTCGCCCACCAAGGAGCCATCTCTGCATGCTCCATTGCTCTGTCTTTGCAATTATGACTATCACTCCATAACACATTAATGTAAATATGATAAATGAGTGAACTTGCTGAACAGTTTTCATTTCCATCATTAACTGACATTCTTTCTTTAGCTGTACAGTATTTAACAATACTTTTAATAGAAAAGCAATTACATTTTTTTCACATGATTGATTGGCATTGTTTGCTACATGGTAAAGATCAATAGTTTTATGCTTTATAAAAATTAAATTTCAACAATTCAACGTCTGGTTTTTAAACACTTTTGCAGTTTTTGAAACTTTGCTCCAAGATAATTCAGGGAACTTGACCATTACATGTTGAACAAAGAGGAAATCAATTTTCTTAAAATTGTCTTAGGATTTTCAAATATGTATTGTTAACCAATTATGTAATTGACAGTAATTATTTTTAATTTTACAAATATTATTTAAGTATTTTTAAATCATCATAAGTAAACTGTTGGGCCGGTGCTGTGCCATAGTGGTGAAGCCGCCACCTGCAATGCTGACATCCCATGTGTGTGTTACTTCAAGTCCCGGCTGCTCCACTTCTGATCCAGCTCTCTACTATGGTCTGAGAAAGCAGTAGAAGATGGCCTGGGTCCTTGGTCCCCTGCACAAACGTGGGAGACCCGGAGGAAGCTGCTGGTTCCTGGCTTCAGATTGGCGCAGCTCTAGCCATTGCAGCCATCTGGGGAGTGAAACAGCAGATGGAAGACCTCTCTTTCTCCACCCCCCACTTCTCTTCTGCCTCCGTAGCTCTGCTTTTCAAATAAAATAAAATAAAATATTTTTAAAAAATTAAGTAAATTGAGTAAACACTCATCATTATATTATAAAAAAAAGTTTGTACAGTGAGACAATAATGAATAATAAATAGCATTTTAATTCCATAAATCAAGAATAATAAATATTTTATGCATGTCAATTTAATTTTTAGTAGATTTTGTAAATAGCAATCACAGTGTTTTCCCTCTTTCAGATAGCTAATGCATTTGTGCATAACATGTACAAAAGTTAGATGTATGAAAACTCAAAGAAACATATCAGAATTCATTCTGGGACTTTCTGATGACCAGAACATACAAATGTTTTTGCTGTGTAGTCTTCCTACTCTGTTATGTTGCCCTGATAGTAGGGAATGTTCTTATTTCTATCTATTCTACATCATCTATTATTCACCAACAAATGTACTATTTCCTTAGCCATTCATCCTTCCTGGACATTGCTGTACCTCTAGTGTTACACCCAAATTGATTGATGCCATGCTAGAAGAAACTAAAACCATTTTCTATGGTTATTGCATTTCTTTGGCTGCATTGAGATCTTTATTATCACTGCCATGGCTTTTGTTGGCTACGTTGCCATCTATAAACCTCTTCATTACATGATCTTCATGAAGAGAACAAAATGCAGTCTTGTTGTTCTAGCTGTTTGGACTGGCGGAGCTACCCAGTCCTTTCAATTGTCCATTACAACCCAGTTGCCCCTCTGTGGTCTTAAGGAAAGTGATCACTATTTTTGTGATATTTTTCCTTTACTAAAGTTTGCTTGTATTGACATCCACATCACTGGTATCCTTCTGGTTGTCAATTCAGGAATTATCACTTTAATGACATATTTATTTTTATTTTTTTCTTATGCCATTATACTGTGTACTTTATGAAATCACTCAGCTGAAGGAAGATGCAATGCCCTCCCTTTTTGCGGGTCTCATATCACTGTGGTCATCGTACTTTATTGGACATGCAATCTGTTCCTGCCCTAGACCTCCTATTCCTCTCCCAGAGGATAAAGTAGTCCTGTTGTTTTATACCATCATTGTGCCTGTGTTCAATCCCTTAATCTATATGCTGAGAAATGCAGACATGAAATATGCCACCAGAAAAGTTTGTTTTCAAATGTTATTTTCAAAGAGAGTATAGAGTTAAATGAAGTAACTTATTAGCCAAGGTGTTTATAAAAGAAAATGATTAGATGCAGTTTAAATAGTTACAAACTTATAGATCTGATAAATTTTTCTACCTTTAATGAGATGAATGAGAATATGAGGACTTAAGCAATTAAAATAATATGCAATATATTATTAATTTCAGTATACCAAATGGATTTTGAAAATTCAACTTATTGATTATTCAGATGGTTTCAATATTATTAACCACAGGAAATATTTGGGCAAAAGCAAATAAGGTAATTTTATATTGAAAAATAAAAGCACATTGCAAAAAATGTTTTAATGATATTTTTCTTAAACCTTTGGGCTTGGAATTCAGCCCACAAAGTGGCATACATTTTATGGTAGTAGAGAAATTTGTATCCAAAATTGAAATATAAGTTTACTTTCTTCATTATTTCACTATTATTTGAGAGGCAGAGAGTGAGAGATTAAGGGGCAAAGAGAGCCAGAGAGAAAGAAAAAGACCTCCCAAATGACTGTAATCGCAGAGCTGGGTCAACTTGGAGCCAGGAGCTGGAAACTCAACCTGGGTCTTCCACATTTGTTGCAAAGGCCCAGATAGTTGAATAATAACCTGGTGCCTCCCAGAGTATACACTAGCAGGAAGCTGAATAAGGAACTGAAGCTGAGACTCGAAGCCAGGTACTCTGATGAGATGTGATGTCCAACCCTGTGTCTTGCCTGCTAGACCAAAAATGCACCTCTGAAACACTACTTTCCTATTTTTAGTAGGACATTCACAGCTCCTAGTAGCATTCAGAAATCAGTGTTGTAAATACACCTATCCGCAAATTCATCTCTTTTAGATTATATTCTGTCAGAGATTTTTCTCTCCTTAGTCATTTTCATTTACTTAGTCTTTCATTCCAAAAATTGATTATTTATTATGCCAGCCATTACATGAGGAACACAGTTAAAAAAAAAAAAACTGAAAACACTAACTTTGTGAACTTATACTAGTTGAGGAAGTCACTAAATAATTACATAAAAACATATAATATGTATTAGATATTGCCTGTAGTACCAGCATCCCATATGGACATCAGTTTGAGAACTGGTTGCTCTACTTCCAATCCAGCTCTCTACTAATATTTCTGAGAAAGCAATATAGGATAGCCCAAGTGCTTGTGCCCCTGCATCCACCTGAGAGACCTGAAGGAACCCCCTGGCTCTTGGCTTCCATCTGGCCAAGCCCTAGTTGTTGAATCCATCTGGAGAGTGAATGAGAAGATGGAAGATTTCTCTCATTCTATCTCCTTCTCTCTCTCTGTAAGTCTGCCTTTCGATTAAAAAAAATCAATGTATCTTTAAAAAATTATTTGAGTGAAAGAAGAGTGATTACTTCTGTGAAATGCTGAATATATCATGGACAATCTTGATAAAAATAGCTCCAGTAAACAAGAGAGGTGAAAAGTTCTTCTTGTAATAAAATTGGGAGGTGGGAAATCAGGTACAATCACTAAAGAAAGAAGAGAAATCAGAATTGAAGACAATGAGGAACTAAAGAAGAGAGAAAAGACAGCTGTATTTCATATGATAGAAATGGGTTCTATTAAAGAATCAATTTTGAAATGGTCATAGATCTCAAACAAATGTAGATTTTATGGGGCCGGTGCTGTGGCGCAGCAGCTTAAAGCCTTGGCCTAAAGCTCCTGCATCCAGTATGGGCACTGATTCTAGTCCTAGCTGCTCTACTTCCAATTCAGCTCTCTGCAATGGCCTGGAAAAGCAGTGGAGGATGGCTCAAGTCCTCGGGCCCTTGCACCCATGTGGGAGACTGGGAAAAAGTTCCTGGCTCCTGGCTTCGGATCAGTGCAGCTCTGGCCATTGCGGCCATCTGGGCAGTGAACCAGATCGAAAACCACTCTCTCTGTCTCTGCCTCTTTCTGTAACTCTGTCTTTCAAATAAATAAAATAAATCTTTAATAAAAATTAATTTTATTTAGGCCAATATTTAAAGTGGAAACCAATAAGATATTACCTTTGATTCAGAAAAGAAGAAAATCACTACATATTTCTAGTCTAGTAAGAAATTTGGTAGATATCCACAGGGCAGCAAACAATTACATTTCCGTGGACATGATTTTCATTTTGAAGGACAAGGATAATTTTCTCCACTATTATTTTCTACAGATTAATTTCTATATCTACAGAATTGTAAACTATCCTAGACAAAGTCAATGGAATATGAATAACCTTAATGGAAGAGAGAGACATACTCCATGTTCTGTTAGACAAGATGGCCGATCAGAGGTTCTTGTCTTTGCACCAGGAAAGAACTGGAGATGTGAAACAGAGTAGCAGTATGCATGCTTGTCAAATTTAATGAAAAGAACACATGTGACATGCTAAATGGGAAACTCAGTAATGAACTGAGAGCCAAATCACTTTAAATGGAGTTATTGCAGATTTAGGTATGGGCTCACCTTTTGTTCTTCCTGCTCCCTCTTCTGGGACATTGTTGGATGGGGGGCTTTCTGGGCATGTAATTCCCTAAATCCTCCTAGGACATTAACAGCACAGTGTTATTGGACCTGACAGCCCCCTTGGTGCAGGTTAGGGAAGATTCCCCTAAGGTCCTCCAGTGGGGGGCTGGGACACATGTAACAAGGTTAGTGAATTTGGGCATGACCTTTGATATGTAAATGGAGGTCTGCTTCCAAGGCATGCATCTACATTTCTTCCTTCATTTAACTGCACAGAAATTCCCAATTCTGTTCAACAATCCCCCTCAAAAACAAAGGCTAATGTCTACCTTGCTATCAGTTCCAAAGATACTCATCATATTTTCCCTCTGCATTTTTAGGCTAATATCAATGATCCAACAGAGAAAACTTATTAATGATGTGTAAGAGGAGGCAAATGATGAAAAGATGTTCTTGAAAGATTAAAAGGGATGTGATCTAGTGCAGGGATAAAACACTTAATATAAAAAATATATTTTAAATGACTAAGTTTTGCAATTATTTTTGCTCCATCTGTTTTAATAACTTCTCTTCAAAATTGGTATTCCAAATACAAAAATAAGAGATTTTGAGGTCTGATTTTTGCTAATCCAAAGAGAAAACTTGGCTTTCTTGGTCATCTTACTGCTAGGTAGCAAGATAGATATTAGCCTAGGTATGTGAGAGGGACTATAGAACAAAAATGTGAATGTTTGTGTGGTTAAATGAAGGAAATGTAGAAGCAGGCCTCATAAATAGACCAGTACTGGCACATCTAAATCCTTGCCCTTGTTCCATAACCTTGTTAGGTGGGTTGCAGCCTTCTCCCAGGAACAGCTTAGGGGAATCTTCCAGCCCTGCACCCAGAGGTCTATTAGGTCCAATAACACTGTGTTGATAATGTTCTGGGAGGAACTTCACAAGCTCCACCACCCCAGGAAAGTCTTCCACCCAAACATATCCCAGAAGTGGAGGAAGAGAAGAAATGGTGGTCCCATATTCTCATATTTAAAAATTCTAGTTGGAAAGAAGATTGCGCTCTCAGTTCTTTTCCGAAAAGCCAACCTGATATTTCGGGGTATTCTTATTAAGCTCGGCTAGCATGCTTACTGATAATCTCTGTGTCACATGTGAAATCATTTATTTTCACAAAGCCAAGGACCTCTGATTCAACCATTCCTGTAGCATATTTGGTGAGCCAGGAGAGAACAAGAGCAGTGGTAAGTCCTGGGCAACATCACCCTGAGCAATGATCCCTGTTTAGCCTACTTCTGTTCTTTATCCTGCCTTACCTCGTGGTAGCTAAAGTCTCCTTGCAACACTCATGCAGACATGAGTTAACCTGCTAAAAATGCCATTAAGATGTTCACTGCCAGAAACCTTCTGTGAGAGGATAAGCTGGAAGTGGAGTGGGGAAGGTTGCATTGAGCATCTGGCCAGCATCCAGAAATGTTCTCTCCACTGGCACACCATACTGCAACTGAAAGGGTTCACATTTTCTCACTCACTGATGTAAGGAAATTTCTCTGACCATCTACTTAAGAGCCCTTTGTTCTACGGTTGGGGCCAATATGTGCCTTGTTAAACTCAGAGCTTTCTAGTGGAAAGAACAGGTCATCAAAGAAGGAGGTACCTTTCTCTGAAGGGAGGAGAGAACCTCCACTTTGACTATGACCTTGTCTAAACAAGATAAGAGTCGGAGAACTCAGAGGGCTTCCATAGCCTTGGAAACTCATGACTGGAGCATAGGGAGACTACTGATGCCATAGACAGGAGTGTCAATTGGTAAAGTCAACAACAGGAGTCACTGTGCACTTACTCCTCATGTAGGATCTCTATCCTTAATGTGCTGTACATTGAGATTTAATGCTATAATGAGTACTCAAACAATATATTTCACTTTGTGTTTCTATGGGGGTGCAAACTGTTGAAATCCTTACTTAATGCATACTAAACTGATCCTCTGTAAAAAAAAAAAAAAAAACAAAGAAAGAAATTATCATTCCAACTGACTCCTCACTGGGATAAACATGACATAGGTCTGCTCTGATTCATCATCATTTAAAAAAAATCATCTATTATTTTCACTTTATGTTTCTGTGTGGTAGCAAACTGTTGAAATCCATACTTGATGTATACTAAGCTGATCTTCTGTATATTAAGATAATCAAAAATGAATCTTGATGTGAATGGAAGGGGAGAGGGAGTGGGAAAGGGGAGGGTTGTGGGTGGGAGGGACGGTATGGGGGGGAAGCCATTGTAATCCATAAGTCGTACTTTGGAAATTTATATGCATTAAATAAAAGTTTAAAAAAAAAAAAACTCAGAGCTTTCTAATCACCACTACACCCATTGTAGATCCCAAAGCCTGAAAGGATAAAACAGTCTATGAAATCTTGCTGCACTTTCCTAATTGCTGTGAATTGCAGAGTTATTGTAACTATGAAGATCTTGAATCTTTCCTCACCCCTAGTTGTGAGGTTCATGGAGCTATGTCTTCAAATAAAACATTGCTGGTTTTATACTTACATGTTTTATCTTCCAGTTTTAAAGACTTTCCTAATATTTCTGGAAGAGTATAATTGTGTAAACAAAGTATAACTATGGTTTATCCGCTGATGATTCACTGCCCAAATGTCTGCAATGGCTGGAGCTAGTCCAGTCTGAAGCCAAGAGTTCAGAACTCCTTCTGGGTCTCCAACATTGGTGGCAGGGGACCAAATACTTGGGCCATCTCTCCCTGCTTTCCCAGGCTCATTAGCAGGCAACTGCTTCAGAGGTGGAGCAGCTAGAACTTGAACTGGCACTCAACTGGGATCATAAGAGTGACTTAACACTCTGTGTCACAACGCCAACCCCTGGTTATTCTTTTAGTTGGTGTTTTTCTCTTAATTTAGAGGTGTTACAAGACTGCTTCAGGATGCAAATTGAAATAAACAGTATACAGGAAAGAAAGAAGTGGAGGAAGTATAAATATAATATTCTTGATGAGAAAGTTAATACATATGCTGTTAAAAAGGTTTATGGAAACTGAATGCTGTATAACATTAGGTTGTATTAATTAGAAGGAAATTATTTTAAAGGTAGCATTCATATCTTAGAAGTCCAAGTAACAGGAAACTCTACCTCTTTGTTCTTTGGTATATGTGATTGCCCTAAGTACTGCAATTGTATTTTTTATTTCACATGCTAATCCTTTTAGTCAAGGTTTTTCTGTGTTTTTGAAGCTGGCCTAGGTAACAAGAATTTTATCTCAAGGGAGAGTGTCTCATGTTTTCTGTTGTCTTCATTGAGTATTGATAGCTTAGAAAAATTGCACCTTAAAGGAATTAGCATTACTATCCTATTTGTAAACATTAGAGTTATCACCTGAACTCTGAGTAGATCTGGTCCAAAGCTCTGGCCAACAACACTCAGATTAAATGAATTATAATACTTTTATTTTGACCAAATGGAATGAACCTGTGATAATTCTTTAAAGTTCTTAAGATTTAAAATTCTGAATTAAGCCTTTTGACTTTGGTTCCTTGGAAATATCAAAAGCTGGAACCTTCAAACTGGAGATAAAACAGCTATTTGAGTTAATTTAGATTATGTAAAATGCATTGTCAGGTTATAAAATGATGTAAAGTAATGCCAGATTTATGTTATGCTTACATAAGGGTCTGATGGTTTACATACTGGGGTCATTCACTGCTGACGGGATGTAGTTTCAGAAAGGATCCATCCCTATGGCTTTATGCCAGACACAGATTTTCCTACACGTTGTGTTGGTTGCTCTATGGTGGGGATTGCTGGGATATATGCTCTCTCATTCTCAGCATCTGCCAAGGTCAATGGTGAGTCAGGAAGCTGGCTGCTCACCTTCATCTTTGCTTGCACTTCTTCTCCCAGATAGCTAGTCTGTCCCAGCGCTATGGGTTAAATTCCCCCTACCAGGGTTTGGAACACCCCCTTTCTTTAAGAGGTCAGGGTAATGTACCCATGGGAAGTCCCTGCCACTCGGCAGAACTCTCATGTCAGGGATAGGGAGACACACAGTAGTCATGTGGAAGAAATACCAACTCTGCCCAAGTTTTTCCAGCCATCCAACAGCCGAGGCCAGATAAAGAATAAATGGACACTTTTTACCCTCTACAAAGCAGCAGACTAAAGCAAACTAGGCTGGATTATGTTAAAAGGAAAATTGACAAAGACTTAGAGATAATGAGTCTGGGTTATGTGGTAAGCACTGGGTAAGACCAAAAGCCCAGGAAGGTGGGTTATATGGTAAAAAATTGTTAAGTTCAAAAACTAGGGCAAAATTTACTGGTTCTTAACTAAATGGGGAAATGACACAGAAGGCCTGACTTGTTTCCCTAATGCTCCTCTATTCTCTTCCAGATGGGGAAATTACTCTGCATACCATGTAACTCTCCAATAGGTTGTACAGTTTGAACCTGACTTTAAAGATGGGATGAAAACTGTTTTTCTGTAATACTGCCTGACCACAATACAGGGAACAAAATATGATTAGAAAATGAAATATTGTATTATATTATATTATATTATATTATATTATATTATAATTTTACAGTTAGATCTATTCTGCTGTGGGTGTACATTCCATGAAGAATGTTGTTTTTGGGTCAAATTGGAAAGATATAAAACCACACTCATCATTACTTGCTCCAGAGCCACATCAAACAGAATGGAATTTCTGGCTCAAAAGTGGATCATAGAAATCCTGACCATTGCCTCTCCTTGTCTCTATAGCTTCCGTACTCTCACTCCTTCTCTTTGGACTGTTAAGTTTTAGGAAATTTTGGGTTCAAAGAAGGCACAAAGATGACCAGACAGGTGGAAAAGGCTTTATTTAGGAGAGATAGCAAACTGGAGCTGTTCTAAGCAACAAAGTGGATTTTTGACAGTTGCAGCTATGACATTTATTAAAAGATGTTTATGGATTTTAAAGACTTGGCCAGTGTAAAAGTTCACTTCCCAAGCCCCAGTTTTAGAGTTCATATTTCCATGTTGCACCTGTAGGTGTGTGTAAGTCCTGATCTCCCAGGGCCCCAGACTGTATCTGAAAATTTTTTAAATTACTTTTCATCATGATTTTTTGCTGTATTTCACAAAAGAAAAAAATTCTTATCCATGCTTTTGGTAAATGTATCAGTGTTGGGAATGTGAAAAGCTCAAGAATAACACTGGTTATTATTAGAATAGAATGTAAAGACCCAGAGAATATTGTCATGAGCCATAAACTGGGTCTTTCAGAATTTTCTCTAAGTGGTATACGTTCCAACTGGAGTTGCTTTTGAATTATTTTTGGAGGATTAGAAGCGTCTTTGTTGAAAAAGTCATATAAGTTAAATGGACCGTCATTGTTTATTTGGATTACACACTGCCTTGTATAACCCGTTGCTAAATTTTGTGATTTGTTGCTGAGCCAAAAGATTAATGTGGTAGAGCAGCTAGGAACAAGACATGCAGCAAACAGTCGACCACAGAAAGGAGGCACAATAGAGAACAGTAAATTTTGCTTACAAATTATCCTGTGTACTGCTAGATACAAGACACAGGCAAGCTGCATGCATTTTAAATATTTCACTATAGAAAATATATATATTTAGGCATTCTTGTGAAAACCAGGGATATGTTTCAGTCTATTTACTTCCTGTAGTATGACACCAAAGCTTCTTAATGGCATTCTTCATCTCCACATTTCTCAGTGTGTAGATTAGAGGGTTGAGCATAGGGGCAATGATGGTATAAAAGAGAGCGAACACTTTGTCTTCTGGAAAAGTAGTTGCTGGTCGGATGTAAATAAACAGTAGGGGAGCAAAAAACAGGACCACCACAATGATGTGTGAACTGCATGTGGAAAGAGCTTTGCGACGATTCTCCATAGAGTAGGACCTGACAGTGTGCAGTATCACAGCATATGATATCAACAGTACCACAAAAGTCACCACACCCATCACACCTGAATTGGCAATGACCAAGAAACCAATTCTGCTTGTGTCCATGCAGGCCAGTTTCAACAAAGGATACACATCACAGAAGTAGTGATCTATTTTATTGGGGCCACAGTAGGGTAAAAAGATGGCCAGAAGAAACTGGCCAAAGGAATGCAGGAATCCCCCAGCACAGGAAGCAGCAATCATGGCATCACATCTCTGCCTGTTCATGATGATGGTGTAGTGCAGAGGCTTGCAGATGGCCACGTAGCGGTCATAGGCCATTCCCGTGAGAATGAAAACCTCAACACCCCCAAAGAAGTGCATGGCGAAGAGCTGTGTCATGCATCCGTTGTAGGAAATGGTCTTCTTTGTTGCCAGTAAGTCCATGATTAGCTTGGGAGTCACAGTGGAGGTGTAACACAGGTCTGAGAGTGAGAGATAGCTCAGGAAGAAATACATGGGCTGATTAATGAGTGGACTGCAGGTGATAGAAATCATGATAAGCAGGTTACCAATCAAAATTGCAATGTAACAAAGCAAAAACACTAAAAAGCAGAGAATCTCTACCTCTTTGGTCTGAGAAAGTCCTAAAAGGATAAAATCTGTGATATTAGTCCTATATTCCATCATCCAGGGCAGTTTGTTGCCACCTGAAATTAAACAAATTTTGTATTCTAATGAGATACATTTATATATGAGGGTGCATACTATGCTAGAGTAAATATTACTGGAGATAGTTATAAGGTCTAAGACCATGGAAATTTGAATTTTAATTAGGAAGGATTTTATAAAATGTTTTTTGTCACTGTCTTGAAAACATTAAGATATTTACTGGTATATTTTGTGTGTGTGTGTGTATATATGTACATTTATATTTTCTTTTTTTAATTTTTTTGACAGGCAGAGTGGACAGTGAGAGAGAGAGACTGAGAGAATGGTCTTCCTTTGCCACTGGTTCACCCTCCAATGGCCACCGCGGCCGGCACGCTGCGGCCGGCGCACCACGCTGATCCGATGGCAGGAGCCAGGCACTTATCCTGGTCTCCCATGGGGTGCAGGGCCCAAGCACTTGGGCCATCCTCCACTGCACTCCCTGGCCACAGCAGAGAGCTGGCCTGGAAGAGGGGCAACTGGGGCAGAATCCGGCTCCCCGACCGGGACTAGAACCCGGTGTGCGGGTGCCGCAAGGCTGAGGATTAGCCTAGTGAGCCGCTGCGCCGGCCTGTCCATTTATATTTTCAAAACTGTCAACCGTCCCCTTTTCTTCATTTCAGAAGTTACCACTTTAATTTGTAAACATTAACATCTTCAAATAAAGCAGATTTTGAAGAGGAAATTTATCAGCTCTCAAAAATATGAGTTGACTTTAGTTGCTACAGAATTACTTTTTGGCATCTATTAAATTTTACAATGAAGAGGTGAGATTCATACTGGTCAAATAAACCATTTAATTAAATAACAGTTAAATTTTAGACTTTCAAAATTATTACCAATAGTTTACAATAATTTAGTGTTCTTCTCTAACTCCTGCCTAAAATCATATTCTATTGCATTAATGAAAAAGACTGTAAGTGAATATTCTAGTATCACTGTAGATTTCATGTTTAATTTGCTGCATGAATTTGATCAATTAGTTAAACTTTCTCAGACTTTCTTCTCCTATATTTAATTTAAAATCTTGCCTGATTTAACCCACTGAAACTCAAGTAACAGAAAAAGAAAATCATGTTTTAAAAATACATTGTAAATATTATGCTCTTAAGATTGTTTTTTTCAAATCAAAAGTAGAAAACAAAATAATCAGAATCATTAGGAAAATAATATTAGTGCACATTATTGCTAACAAATACTTGTATATTTTAGACAAAAACTAAATTCTTTAAAAATTGTAGTCCCTTACCTATATTCCTGAAGAATAATAGTTTCTACTTACTATGTGTTGAATTCTTTATTTGAAAGAGTTAATCTTGTGATTACAAAAAAAAATTGAAAATATGTTATTGTAAAAAGTAAAAGTAAAATAAGAAAAGAAGGAGAAGGGAGAGCATGGTAGGAAGTATCATCAAGTTTTTAAAAAGTATATATATGAATATAAGAAATGTTTAAAAAAGAAAAAGAAAAAAAAATAATCTCATAATTATACCCAATTCAACTGATTAGAGTTGGGAAATATGAAAATTGAAAATGGGGCCGGCACCGCGGCTCACTAGGCTAATCCTCTGCCTTGCCGCACCTGCACACCGGGTTCTAGTCCCGGTCGGGGCGCCGGATTCTGTCCCAGTTGCCCCTCTTCCAGGCCAGCTCTCTGCTGTGGCCAGGGAGTGCAGTGGAGGATGGCCCAAGTGCTTGGGCCCTGCACCCCATGGGAGACCAGGATAAGTACCTGGCTCCTGCCATCGGATCAGCGTGGTGCGCCGGCCGCAGAGTGCCGGCCGCGGTGGCCATTGGAGGGTGAACCAATGGCAAAGGAAGACCTTTCTCTCTGTCTCTCTCTCTCACTGTCCACTCTGCCTGTCAAAAAAAAAAAAAATTGAAAATGAACCTACAATTTAATTTACTCATTAATCTCATATAAATTCAATAGAGTGAATGACTAAAAAATGATACCCTATGCTGTTAAATCCTATGTCCCCTGTTTTCAAGTATTCTATAGAAAATTATGCATGGTGACTCTCATATATCTTTAAGACCCATATCATATTTCTCATTTTAAGCATATATATATAACCATGTTATCGCTAGATATACCTCAGAACAACAGAGTATTCAGGCAACAAACCACGCTTCATCTCCTTCATACGGTTGTACTGCTTCCTAAATCAACCATTTCACACATATCACATCATTCTAACGCACTTCTGTTCCACTCTGGTGGATTTCCATTGTTAGGTGGTGTCCTTAACAGCCTCTTCTAGGACTGATCCTGTCTGTGATTCGACCACAGGTTATGCAGAGCCAGCTTCTACGTGCTGATGACTGGTTATCATTCTTCCAAACATTAGAATACATTTACACCTACAGTCTCAGCTTGCTGTATCTTTCTCACTGATGCAAAAGTCTTCGAATCCTAAGGTCAACACAAAGACACCATTCTCCTAGAAAGTAATAAAACCCTTCAGCCTCTGCTCCTCTGTACCTTCCAGTGTGTGCTGCCTTATACTTTTCTTCTCTGTTCTCTTTATACAACCTAAATTCTCAGAAGTCTCTATGATGTCTGGATTAAAATGTAAGAGTTTCCCTGTAACTGTGAGTTATGGTAGAGCTTTTTTGTCATCCCTCCTCAGGGCTTGTTCAGTCTTACCAGAGGCAGCTCATCTCATACAATTTCAAGATTTCACTGACAGCTGCATTCTACAATACAATATATACCCAAAACGTCTATGTCATTTGGAACTTACAAATTCTTTAGTTTATAATTTTTAAGATTTTATTTTCACAAGTAACAATTGTGCTCTGTATATTTGGGGAATACTGTGATGTTTTGATCTATGTATACATTGAGGAAAGATTCACTATAGTTAATTAGCATACCCATCTTCTCACCAATTCATTTACTTTTCTTGTAGCAAGGTTGATTTACTTTATCAATGATTAAATTCTGTTCCTTAACTCTGTAATGGAATTTAAGCTTGATAAGTCTTAGGACTATTGTCTTATTTTCTCCTTATTCTGGACATGTGGGATAAAGCAAAATAACACACAAATTTACAACTTTCATATCTCTATCGGATGATATTTGTCTGATTTTTGACAAATGTGAGCTTTCTGAGACTTATTTTCTTGCTTTTCAAATAAGGAAAATAAAACTCACTTTCTAATCACTGCTACTTCTATGCCAGTTATTATTCTAAATGATGAAAAGCCTTAAAATCACTAAGACCTGGTGCCAGCACTGTGGCGCAGCAGGTTAAGGCCCTGGTCTGAAGTGCCGACATCCCATATGTGTACTAGTTCGAGTCCCAGGTGCTCCACTTCTGATCCAGCTCTCTGCTATGGCCTGGGAAAGCAGGAGAAGATGGCTCAAGCTTTTGGGCCTCTGCGCCCTCATGCGAGACCTGGAAGAAGCTTCTGGCTCCCGGCTTCGGATCAGCACAGCTCCAGCCTTTGTTGCCATCTGGGGAGTGAACCAGCGGGTGGAAGACCTCTCTCTCTGTCTCTACCTCTCTCTCTAACTCTTACATTTCAAATAAATAAAATAAAAATATTTAAAAAAATCACTAAGACCTGACTGAAATATCCATTTTCTAAGATTGTTGTCTGGTTTTCCCATAGTAAGATTGCAAGTGGGTTATTTAATCAGGAATTGTGAATGATTTGCTAAATTTGAACAGTTGTTAAAAATCAATCATATGATCAGCCCTTAAGGCATTCTGGTCTGGCTGAAAAGCTTATGAGAGCATTTCAGGCATAAAAAGCCAAGACACCGTGGTAAAAAATGTCCTACATGAAGGACCACTGTGGGTGAGACCCCATCAAAGTGCCCATCAAAGAAGGATGTATTTTTCTCTGAAGGGAGGAGAGAACTTCCACTTTGCTTATGGCCTTGTCTAAAAACTGATGGGGTTTGTGGATTCAAAAGGCTTCCATAGCCTAGGAGTTCATGTTAAGAGCCTTGGCTGTTCACTGATGTCGTACACAAGAGTATTAAGTTAACAACAGGAATCACTGTGCACCAACTCCCCATGCAAGTCCTCTGCCTCCAAAGAGTTGTAATAGGAGAGTTAGTAATAAAATGTGTATTCAAAGACTTATTCCATTTTAGTGTATTAAGTGGAGGGTATATTTATGTCTCACAAGTTTTAGTTATGCCAAAGTATCCGACTCCATTACTTGTTTTCTTAGGTGCTTCTTTAGTTAATGATAAAACTTGTTTCTAAAGCCTTACTTTCTTTTAATGTATTAAGTGGAGGATATTCTTATGGCTCATAAGTCACAGTTATGTCTAAGTGCTCACAAAAGATGTATCATTTTGGGTGCTTTTTTAAGTTGTTTCTCAAAAATAAAAAAAAGTGAAATCAACTTCGAGATGCAATGACTTTGAGCAGCCCTTGTCTCGACTATTGAGAAACATTTTTTTCTTTTATCTTTTATTTTTTTCTTCTTATGTCATACAGATTAATGAACTCTTTACTTACTATAGACTTAATCTTCTATGTATAAAGTTAGTTGAAAATAGATATTGGTATAAACTAAGACTGGGAATAGGAGAGGGAGGAAGAAGAGGGGTGGGAATGTGGGTGGGAGGGTAAGCACCATTGGAAGAATCACTATATTCCTAAAGTCATACTTATGAAATGCATGAAGTTTGTATTCCCTAAATAAAAGGTTTCTCTGAGAAAAATCAGTCATGGTGTCTTTCAGCTGTAGAAACCTAATTACAATCCTTTCTTTATGATTGCGCCACATTGGATTTGGTTACTTTAACTAATTGATACTTAATTGCCAAATTCATGAACAAATTTAGTTTCAGTGTTCAAAAAAATAAAATAGAAGTTTCTTTTAGTGTATAGCACTACCATTGGAATAATTTTTGAGTACTGAAGAGATAAGAGTACAAAGATACAGAATGTTTATAATCAAAGTTACTCCTGGACACATAGATACAGACTGGCTTTTTGGAATGGTCC